TGACTTCATGGCTCAGGCTTTACAGGGTTAATATGTATTACAACCCTGTAGATGTGATGCATGTTGCATGTTCCATATGTTCAGTGCATTGTCTTCTGAAAACCTGGCAAAGCTGAGATATTTCCCAAAAACCTGTAGATTCCTGCAAATGTGAGCTTCAACAAACGTTTGCTTTTTGTGTTTTGGACAAACGCTGCCCTCTTCTGGTTCTGCACCATGTAGATATTTAGTAGCAACAAAGACCTTTATTTAAGTGTGCTCATTTTTGGGGGTATTTTATTTCACTACAATTTAAATTCTCGTAAAGCAAAACAAAAAACAAAAAGTCCCCATAAAATCATGCAGTTTCGTCCACATTAAGAGGGTTCTCGCTCATCCTCTCCTGGGAAATTTTAAATGTCAGGAACTTAATTTCAAACTTCCTGTTGAATTTTTCTGCACTAATTTATGGGTAAAATGTTTGTTTATGTAAAAGAAAAACAAGCAATTTAAAATATAATGTGATGTAATGCAGTCAGGCTCTCAGGCATTTTGTTTTACTGTCAAATATGAAATATGAAAAACAGTGTTTAGCTCTTCTTTGACATTCTATCCTGCTCTCTTTTCAGCCTGTATGATGCATACAGTTTCCAGATGATCCCAGTTTTAGGAGAGGTGATTGCAGGAGACTGGAAGTCCTATCAGTATTTGGTCGAGAGCATCCGCAAGTTCCCAAGCCAGGTGAAAAGTCGTCTCTCTCCCTGGTTTTTGTTACCGCTGCTCTCAGTTTGGATGTGATTCAGTCTGGATTTAGGATATCCACTTATGTTACTTAACTTTGAAGGAAACGTCTACTTGTCTGTTGAAAATATCTCTATACTGGAAGCATCAAAAATCTTAATAAATGGCACGAATGATTAATTGATTACAGGAGCTGTAGTGAAACAAGAAAACTCCTGGTTGACTGAAACTGGTTCCTACTCTTCAACCAATTGATTGGTCAGAATAGATTTGTCACTTAAGGAATGCTGAATCAAAACACGTGGGAGATGTCAAAGATGGTGGTTGGAGCCAATCACATGCTTCGTAACAGCCAGACCGGGAGCATCCAGCCAATCGTGTTGTTGCACTGACACCAAGCACTTTGTGGTAAAACTGTTCACATGGGTGTTAGAAGTATAACCTGTGGAGAAAGCTTAGTTTTAAACCTTTATTTTGAGGCTATGTCACCATTTGTTTCGTATTAATCTGGTTTATGTCCCAGTGAACATTGAAATCGCAGTTATGGCTCGACAGGAGCCTGATCTCGTCAGCCCAGAATAACTGGGTGTTACCAAGATGGCTGCTGAGTGATGAGACTTTGACGTTCGTCCACAAGATAAACTAAACCAACCACAGGGCACCAAGTCCATTCTTGCTGCTCCTTTAATTAAACCTTGATTATACTGTGTGCAAACGAGCTGCTAAGGACGCCACAGATGCAGAAGGGTTCGAGCAAACTCTTGCAAAGTTGGGCAAGTAATGAACTTTCCATCCCTCTGACCCCAGCAGACCCTTGCGTAGTCTCTCAAATGCTGAATGTGTAACACTGGGCTTAGTTTTTAGCCAAATCAAAGTGAGATTAATTTTATTCTTTGTGATAAATACCCCAAAAAACAAGGATAAAAACAGAGTTATGCGTTTTCTGCATCACCAACGTGACACGTACAGCACAAATAGCTCTGTTCTAGCTATTCATCAATGATCTTTGTATCTGTGATACTCGTCATTAATACCACTCACACCTGCTTTGAAGTCCAGTGTAAGTTTCGTCATGCCTGTTTGATGGTCACCGGTCTGACTGTGTGCGATTGTATGACTCTGTTTAGTCATTTCCTTTGCTCCTTTTCTTCTGCAGGAGGAATTCAAAGACATGATTGAAGACGCAGGTTTCTACTGTGTGCAGTACTACAACCTGACTGGTGGAGTGGTGGCTCTTCACTCTGGTTTCAAGCTGTGAGATGCACTCCCAATGCCTCCTATAAAAAATCAGCAAGTAAAAAGACTCGCTCTGTGTTTTGGGCTTTTCAGCCTGTATGAGAGACTGTTTGCAAACGTGAAGCCTCAGAGCTGCTCTCTGCGGATGCCGCTGCACGATGACAGAAAGTCAGAGGTCAGTTATTTATGACATTATCTGACCAGCGATCTTCACAAAAATTGCACTTGATGTTGAAATGAGTAGAAAAAAACCGGCAAAGTAAGAAGTGTTTTCACTGTATCTGCTGTAATAATGTTAAAAGAGAAGACGAACTGTTTGATTTGAGTTTTTTTGAATATTTTTTGTAACACCAGTGTTCCAGCATTGTGATAATTAAACGTGCAAATGCTAATATTGGTATGTGAATGAATTATTGCCAAAGCTGCAGAAAGCACATTAATTATTAATAACAAATCATGTATTTAAATGCATGTAGCTATTAACTTTTACAATTAAATAAGTGAACACCTCAATGTAAAGCGCAAATAATGAAAAGCAGGACACCACAACATGAGTTACTTGAATAAAACTGTATATTTTACAGATCTTTGTACACTTTAATTACAAAACTGTATGGTACTAAAGTTTTAAAATCAGTTTTTTGGTCAGAGAAGATTTAATCGTCTTGTGTGCAATTACCATGTATATACAAAGTCTCATGTTAGTGATTTTTCTCAAAATAAAAAGCAACCAAATAACTCAAACGTTCATACACTCTGAACATAAGACATGGCTTAAAGATAAATATATTAGTAAATAAATATTCAGAGAACATATTTCCATTTATGAAATGTGTTTGCTATACAGGTACAGAAATATACACAGATTGATTTCTAGCCTTTTTTAAACATTTGTAATGGTAATGACAGAAAATAATTATATTCTTAAAAAATTAAAAAATATTAATTTTTGTACACATTTTTTATCTTCTTAAGTGCTAGAAACAATAACAAAAAAAAATTAAATAGTGACTCAAGTACCCCAAAATGTTATATTTGCAGTAGGTACATATCTCTATGCAAAGGCAAGATTAGATTCTCACTTGATTACAGCACTGGGTTAACTTATAAATAGGGTTATTTCAGGTTTTCCTCTGTGTAGAGAATGTGTATATTTCATAGAAACAGTATAAAAAACAGTCTGCAGGACAAACAGAAAGGCATGAATGACAAGCATTGATATTGTAAAGTATGTATTATGCACGGCATGATATGATTCAAACGGATAAACTGTGGTATGTATAACTGCATCATTAAAAAAAAAAAAAAAAAAAAGTCACAGTACAATAAGGAACCCTTATGAAATATGAGTCTTTTCCAGCTACTTTCCTTTGGCCTTTTGATACATGCTAGAACCTTTTATAGATATTAATTAGAGCATGCTTCATTTAGGAAATTGGGCAAGTGACAGCAAAAATACACTTTTAAGGGCTTCCAAACAAGAAGCAGAATGGTACACTCTACCTCTGAAGAAATCTACTGACCCCGAGACACTCGCTTTGGTTCGACCCAAAGCTACGCAGTGTCTTTTGATATTGCTGCAATTAGTTTACCAGCGTAAGGCTCTCATGTCGCTCCGGCACATCTCATACAGGTAGGCCACTACTGGACAGAAATGCAATGCATAAAACAAATTCTGTATATTGAATAGAGACCAGTGTCAGCCTTGCATTCACATTTCTATGCATTTTTTTCTGTAATATATAGCTTTTTCTCCTTAGAGAAATGTGTAGGTCACACACACCTAGAAAGACCCTTTTCCCTGCTCTTGAAAAAGTTTAAAAAAACAAAAAACAAAACAAACAATCATGTCTTTCTGTTTTGGTATAGCTATGTCCATAGAACCTATTTCAATTGGTGGTTGAAGCTTTATAGGCAGTCAGTGTTCATGTGCGCACATATACAAAATGTATACATGAAGATGCAGATGTTTGTGAATTGAGAGTGTACTTTTGTAGAGAAAAATCTCAGATTCCTCGAGCTTGCACTAAAGATGGAGTCTCAAAAAAATCTCACAAGAAATGGGCCCAGATGACTAACCCGGCAGCAGACAGTCTTCAAATAGATGCCAATACCAACCTAATTCTAGCTTCAGTTGTATTTGTAGAATCACTTTGTCTCTGAGTCTTGAGACGCTCGTGGCCACAGGAATGAACTTGATACATTTATATCTAGAAATGACAGGCCATTTCAGTAGAAATCCACACAATCTAAGATGATAACATTCAGTGCTCAGAGAGCAAGGTTAGAACAAGGCAACTGAGGGTTTCAACGATTGACTGACTGACATGGTACCACATGTTTTGACTGAGTCCTGTTCTTTCAAGACTCAAGTTCATATGCCCAGACCTCCCTCATTTGTTGAAGTACTGCTTCCCAGTGCAGTGGGGCTTGCAGAGAGCTGAGAGTGGAACAGAGCCCTGGTCTCCTCTTCCTGAGGGTATGGCTGACCTCTAAACTGTCCTGTGGTGAAGTACCTCTCCTTGGGCTCATGTTGCTCCCCTGTCCGCAACTCTGCCTCCACTGTGACGCTGACTGGTAATAAACTGCTCTGGGTCCCTAACCCTGTGCCCAATTCACAATCTGTGTCCTCAGGAATTATGGGTATTCTCTGGTTGAGTTCGCAGCAGCCCTGTCCAGAGCAGGTCTCTGAATCTGCATGCGCATACTGCACATTAACAGCATAGTCCTCAGTATAATGCCCTGCTGTGGTCCTGTGGACCTTCATCTCTTTGTAGAAGCAGCAAGGCAGCCCTTCATAGCTCACCTGCTCCGAGGAAGGGCACATGTGCTCAGGAGCAAAGTAGTTCTTGGTGGTGGCGCTCTGAAAGTCCACCCCCCTGTGACAGCGTCCCGAGGCCAGAGGCCCAGCTTGGTCCAAGTCCTGCCCTTTGCACTCCACACTGGGAGGAAGCACCTCGAAACAGCAGCTACAAGCTGCGGCCCCGAGCTCCCCGGACTCCTCTTGTGCCCCCTTTCCCCTGTCGCCTCCGGCGGCCTCTGCGGCCCCGGCTGAGGTAGTGCTAGTGTTGCTGTTCTCCCTGGGTTCCAGTGATGAGCGACTGCTGTAGTTGGGCTCCAAACTGCAGTTGGAGAGGTGGTCCCCCGAATTATATCCCGAAGCTCCAGAGGGGAGCTGAAGGCAGTCATGCCCCAAGGGAGCAGGGGATGATGAGTCCTCAGCAGAAACTGTGGTGCACGATGCAGCCCCTGCTTCCCCTGCAGAGCCCCTACACGGACTCTTACTCCGGTAGACATAAGGATCGTAATCGCTGCTCAGCGAGCTGCGGAAGGTGGAGCAGCTCCCGTACACACCCTGGTTGCTGACCTCAGTACAGTCCAACATGGAGTCGCTGGAGGAACAGTGGCACTGGCCAGAGCTGCTGCTGCTGCTGTCGCTACCAGGACAGTCAGCAAGGTAACCGCTGCACACTGAGCGGTGGCCATGATAGCAGCTCAGGCCAGAAGTGCTGCCAGAATCACCTATCCTTGAAGAAGAGGCAGGTGCCATGTGTACCACTGTGGGGTATAACAGCCCTTGCTGAAAGGCCCTGCTGTGGTGGCCCTTGTGGGCTCCGCCACCAAGCTGTCCTGCCACAGCAGGCCCTTGGCCACCTTCAGGCTGTTGAGGGAAAGTCAACCCCTGAAAATAGTAGTGCTGGTACATAGTCTCGTACTGTGAAAAACAGGCTGCTCGGGAAAAGTTGCGACCATGGAACTTAGGTCGTTTAAAAGCAGCATGATGTGGCTGTGCGGGGTAGGCAGGGGGTCCGCGGTGCTCTAATCCACAGTGGTGGGGGTTGAGTGAATGCTCCAGGTGGAGGGTGGGGTGGTAGCTCCGCAGAAAGGCAGACGTTGACTGAGGTGGATACAGACCTTGAGGGTCTGGGTGCTGGTCCACAGTGAGCACGGTGATGGGGTTGCCGTGTGGGTCCATGCTGGTTCTTGTTGGATATGCCGTCACCTGACCAGCACGGTGCACTCTGCCGGGATAATGGACCGGCAGCACCACCCGCTGCCTGCTGTGGACTGGGTTGCCAGGGTCCATGCATGCTGGTCCTGGATTTCCCTTCTTTTGCTCTGTGAAGAGAAATTACGTTGCATTTACAATCTCACAATAACATAACTTAGGATTTTTATTTTTTTTTTACCTTGCATGAAATAATTTGACCTCAGCAGAACAGACAGATTGTTTGCCAACTTACCGATGATGTTGTGTCTACAGTGGGGACAAGTGTGATGCTGGAGTAGCCAGGGGTCCACACATTTCTTATGAAATCTGTGAGCACAGGGGATAACCCGCAGTTCCTGTAAAGACAATTACAACAAAGTTTTAGCCTTGATTCCACGACCTTCTGAATACACACATGAACAGTGCACACATAGTTATTACATGACCAGTCTTCTTGGAGGAAACCTTTCTATTCATGTGCAGCGGGTCGGATCTACATATTCTGCACATGTTCATTACTGCTCTTGAAGCAGACACAAGTCACTTCGTTTTTGGCCAAATCAAAGTGAAATTAATTTTAATCTCTGGGATAAATACCAATTAGCAAATCAATACTCTAGTAAGGGGCTGCAAGGTGGAGCAGTTGGTAGCATTGTTGCCTCTCAGCAAGAAGGTCGCTGGTTCGCATCCCAGTGAGGAGTTTGCATGTTCTCCCCGTGCAGTGTGGGTTCTCTCCGGGTTCTCCGGCTTCCTCCCACACAGTCCAAAAACATGTTGGTGATTCTAAATTGTCCGTAGGTGTGAATGTGAGTGTGCTTGGTTGTCTGTCTCTAAGTGTAGCCCTGTGATAGACTGGTGACCTCTCCAGTCCCTGAGTCAGCTGGGATAGACTCCAGCCCCCGCCAGCCAATTGAGGCTTAAGCGATGTATAGATAGTGAATGGATGGATATTCTAGTAAGTGTTCCATTAGCTGCAACACCAGCAGTATGAAACTAACTCTGCAGCAAATTAGGACCAACCATTAAAGCACATTTACGCACTTAATGCATGCAGGTTCCTGTGGCGATGCTTCGTTCAGCGGCATTACAACATAAGACTGAACAGATTAGCAGATGTAACATTCCCTCAGCTGAGAGAATGTGGTCAGGAAAAGAATTAGTGAAAGGGTGGCACTTCTGACAAGCTGATTTAAATCCAAAACTCAGAACCTTATGTGCAGTAGGTTAGCTGTTTAGTAGAAGTTACCACTGATCTCTCTGCACAGTGCAGCTGTTTAGTTCCAATGAGAGGGACTCACATGCTGCACTAACACACACCACAGCGAACACACACAGGACGCCACTTCTCCACTCTATATAGCAGATAGAGTTGTTTGCTGTAAGGTGCACACTCAAGCTCTCTTTGAATAAGTGAACAGCAGTGATGTCCCACATGGACTGTTGTAGTTCATTCAAAGCATGCTAGAAGAAAATGTGCACTCATGTTGCTTGTTTATGACTTTATGAATTTTTACAAGTTTCGATTCAAAGTTGCAGCTTCAAAGATGTCTAGATGTGGGGTTGAGAGCAGCTGAATGTCCAGAAGGTGGCAGCAAAGCTACACAAACCTGTCAGATGTGTTAATGGTTGTGAGTCTAATCAAGTTTGATCAACTGTGAGAGAGCCAACTTCACATCAGTCCACAAACAAAACTCTTTAACTAGATGCCACGCCACAGTACAAATACAACACTGATGCTCAATGTCACCGCTTTCTGGAACAAAACAAAACAACACGCTGACTCCCGAGGATTGATATGAAAAGAACGAAACACTTTGCATTCAGACGGAGGAATTTGAAGACACAAAAGGCAGGAGCTCTGTGAATATGAATTAGAATATATTTCCCAGCCAGAACTCTTCCTCTGTCATAAATACTTTACTCCGTGGCTTAATATGACTCATCTTTAGGCTCTTTTCCACCAAAGCTTTTGTTGCTTGGTTCACTGCTCAAAAACCGCTTTGATGCCATTCAGCCTTTTATATCGCCACTTCCTCTGTGCAATCCTGGCGCCGTGCTTTGTTGTGTTTTTCTTCTCCTCCTTACCAAAGAGACACATAACCACAAAACACACCAACTATGTCCCCCTGGGCACTGGGGTTTGTCCCTGCAGCGTCCGTGAATGAGGATGAGCAATGGCGTTACAGTAAGTCCTCAAAGTCCAAGATTAGGATGCATATTTTGCCAGTGACTCCTTCAAGGATTAAAGAAGGCCACAGTGGGAAAACAGGAAGCATAATCACAACCCAGTGCACTCTGGGTACCCTTATCTCTCCAGGTGCTCTGAAAGACTGAGCTAAACATCTAAAAGGCGCCGGAAAGAACGTCACTAAAGATCGCAGGACTGCGGTCCCCGAGCACATCGGGGGAACTTCCATTCTATTGTCCACATGACTGCATTATGCTTCATGTGTGCAGAATATATAATGAAAAGAAAACAAACCCAGTGGCTCGATGACCACATCAGCACGGCCAGAGTTTGTGTTCACGTATGCACGCACCGTTCTCTTTGGCAGCTGGGATGAAAGCATCCTTCAAATGCAAATGGTTTTACGTTACTAACTTTGGTCTGTCAGTAAAATGTCACTTCAGCTGCTGCTCTGGTTGCATATTTGTAATAATTGCTGAAACAGGAGGGTTAATTTATTAGGAAATGTGCACCTTTAACACGTTTTGATTGGATTAAACGCCACCAGACAGGAAGTGATCGTGCTAATATTCTGTCGTAGTTTATGCTGAAGCTGCAACTAAGGGCTATTTTAATTAAACTGTTAATTATTTTAAAATGATAAAATGCCAATCAGTGTTTTCCAAATCCCAAGATGACATCCTTTAATGCCTTTTTTTTGTTCACAACAACTAAAAGATATTCAGCTTCCTGTCATACAGGACGAAGGAAACCAGAAAACATTCAGATGTAATTTTCTGAATCAGTCGCTGGGTGTTTTCTTCTCCTGTCACCTTTTTACTCACTGTGGGTTCATTTTTCATTATAGAATAAACCCTACATCTCAATCTAAACGGAATAACCGTGGCTAGAAGCAGAAAGTACTCAGAAGTGTCTGTTTTGCAGTGTGACACAGTTATAATGCCATTAATCATACAAAAGGAGAGTTGAGTTTCTTATTTGTTTTTCCTATTTTACAAAAATCAAAACAACCTGGAAACCAAGTGCCTACATGTGTCACCTGTACGAGAAAAAAAAAAGTGGTACAAATTATTTCCTACTTATATTTTTCTTCTTATTTTTAAAAAAATAATCTATTCTAGCTGCTGGGTTTTGGGGTTTAAAATGTTAAGAAGCTGTAACCAGTTGATCTGAACTTTTTCTACTCAAACCGATGAACAGACCATCAAAACAATTGTTTAGTAATGTCATAGTTGACAACTGATGGAACAATTGTTGTTGCTCTAGTTTATGACAAATGAGTTCTGGATTTAAAGGCAGTAATTTAACTTTTTCCTTACCTCTCCATCGATGTACTTCTCCAGACAAATTGCACAGTCAGAGGTGGAGCTGCTGCTCAGCGAATCAGAGGCTCCGCAGCTGCTCTCGCGTTGGCCTTTTCCTTTGGCTTTGAACTTCCTCGTCTCCATCTTCTCCAGCGCCTGGATGGCCATTCTGTTCATGGAACTCTGCGGCGGGGAGGGAGGGGAAATCAGCATCTCTGATAATTTACCAGGAGAGCCACTGGAACATGTAGACAATTCAAAACCATCAAAAGATTGAGCTCAAATCAGTGAAGATGTTTTGAAGCGCCTCAGTGTTTGCTGATGTCAGTGTGAGCCCGTTGATGTCATGATTTAAGACTTCTCCCTTTGACTCACGACATCATTTTGCAATGTTTGACTCTGTCTGGCTGTAACTCTGGAGACACTTTCATCTCTAATTTGCTTCACGTTGCCTTAAAAGTGTTGCTTATTAAGAAATGGTGACTGATAAGTTGACACATGCAGAACTGCTTATTAGGATTAAACGTTAATGACTCGTGTGCAGCACATATCGGGATTTGATACTTAAATTTCTGGTGCATCACTTGCTTACAAGACAGAGTTATTTATGCTCAGCCTAACCACAGTCTCCAGAGGGTGTTTTTTCCTTCATGCCGGGTCACAGTTAGATAATTGTAGACTTTTTATTTAGGGACATGTGGATCCCCTGATCAGCAAGAGAGCAATGAACTCTGGGATGAAAGCGCGTCTCATCACAGGGTTGACGAACATGAAACACTTTAAAATCTGTTTAAAATCAGTTTGTAATTAGCTGTGCAAGGGCAAACCCTTGAGGGATCCTTCACTTAAACCAAAAGTAATGGCTCTACGGTTTAAACAATATTTACTCCACCAGCGATTCATTAATTTTTCACATTTAAAGGAAGCAAAAAGTTGTGACAAATGTGCCGCCGGTGCGAGCTGCGTTCTCTTAATTAACCACCAAAGGAAGTCACGGCCGAGTCGTCTTCTGCTGTGACACACCTATTATGTGCCGACAAACATGTGCTGGCTGGATAACGCCTGTCTTAACGGGTGCCGCCACAGGTTTTCTGCTCCGTCATGATGCCTCTGTACGTTTTGGCTCCGGCAGCCAGCCTCTCATCAGCATTAATTAAATGCTAATCCTGATTTCATGTACCCGACATAAGCCCCAACTGAGAGCTCTTTGTCAGCACACAAGAGGAATCAATCAGCGGCTGAGCTACTGTCGCCCGACTCGACGCCTGCAACTCCCAGAAGAAGTCGTGCCGACTGGAAAAACAAGGCAACAAGGCGTTGCGTGTTTGGGTGTGTTTTGTGTGAGATGCACAAATAAGTTTGGTCCTTTGTGACTCAAAGTGGGACAATGAAGAAAGTTTCCCAAGTCGTATTTTGCGTGACGAGCGTATGTGCAGACACCAACCTGACTCCTCCTTTGCTTGAGTTTGATCTTGATGAGCAGAATGAGGCAAACCAGCGACACAACCACGAAGAAAGCCAGGAAGATGCCCATGTCGAAATATTCTGTGGGCTGCTGTGGAAAAGGAGGGCGAGAGAAAACACAAACTCGTTGAGTATTTTCTGCGTTTTTCATTTCAGCTCACTGGCGGTTCAGGATGTTTGATTATAGTTTCGCTGGCTGCTCAGCCGGCCCGAGCACTCGACGCTGTGACTCATTCACTCTTCATTATGCAAAGAAAAATCAAAATGTGACCTTCACACACCGGTGCTTTCTGGAATAGATACACGGCCGCTTATTCATGCACGTCAATTCATTTCCATATCGGAATCATTTTCTTGTGGCTGTGTCGATTTACGAGTGTCAGTAAATGACTCGGGTGAGCGCTGCACCTCCAGCACACATCAGACCATTCTGCCAACTGGAGCTGAAACGACTGGTTTCTGTTTAATGTCATTGTATGTTGAATTTTCTTGGGTTTTGAACAAAACGCTTTGAACACATGTCTACTTGTTAAAGTCCTTCTTCAGCCATTGATTAAACTTGCAAAAACAAATCTCCATTTATCTGTTTTTATGTGAAAACAACCTCTTCATACCTTTAAATGGCTCAGATATGTTGCTAAAGTTTCAAATCTACAAATCGATGAAGTTTTCACCTACAGCTCTGCTCAAACACTGTAAAGCCACCCAAATCATTGCCCGTTGTTATTTAATACATGCTTGAGCTTGAAACTGATTCTGAAGAAGAATGAGGAGACGGAAACATAACTAATTTGGCTTTTCTACTTAATATTTACATTTTACTACGGTACACTTATTTGCTTGTATTTTTACTTATATGTTGCTCTTGTCTTACAATTGTTTGTTATTATTTATTGGACTAATTTCGTACCACCAACATATAAATGTGAGCTGGTACGACAATAAAAGTTGCTTGAAAATCCCACCCTGGCATTGGTTCCTTAGTTTTCCTGCGTATGAAACCCTGGAAGTCTGAGTTTTACTGCAGTTTCAAAGCAGAATTGCTCAACCGTGGCATCAAATGTATGTTTTGCTCATGATGTGTCTTCTAGCAAATAAAAAAAAACAACGTATGTTCATGTTAAGAAGGTTAAAAAACAGGTCTTTTACATTTAAGAAATTTTTAAGCTGTTAACCGAGAAAATGCAATCGATGGGGATAACCGGTGATATGAAAAAGACGCTACGTGGCAGGATGCAGAATAAACTTAACCCAGCATCATTTTCCAGTAACTTCAGAACTCCAGCTTCAAACAACTGAAAACTTACCGAGGACGCGCAGATTGTTTTATTCCTCCCCAGAAAACGTCTCTCTTATCAGACGGCCCTTTCTCCCGGGCTTTCATTATGTCAAGCTATTTGACCTCAAAGTGTGCTGGTCTCTTATCAAATATTCCAAGCAAACAAACAGCTCTTTGAATGGCTGATATTAATCTCTCGCCACGCCGTGAAAAAAAAAAGTCCTCGGCCTCGGGGCAGCGAAGAGCACAGAAGAAAGGAAGAGGGTCAGATTTCACAGCCGGAATTTTCGTTTTTGTCTTCGCATCTGAAAGTTCTCGGGCGCCGTTCGGTGCTCGGGCCTCGCAAACATGTTCTTCCCTCATGTTCCTCGGATTTGTTTTTTCTTTTCTTTTGTTTCAGTGTGAGCTCTTACCCTCGGCGGTCTGTGCTGTATCCGAGCTCGGGCCACTTTCTGCTTGTTGACGATGTTCATCAGTTTGACGGCGTCGTTGCCCTTCACGTAAACCACCGGACGCTTCAGGGGATCCTCAGCAACCTGGTTGAGCTGCAGAGAGGACGGAGAAGGAATCACAGATGTGTTAATGCACAACTTCACTTCACATGATCATCAAAAAATGGTGCAGCGTCCTGTAATATTTTGAATCTTTTTAAGTTATTTTTTTGGCCTTTATTGGATAGTGTTAGTGAGAGAGAGAGACAGGAAAGTAGAGGGAGAAGACATGTGGGAAAGGCTCATGAGTGGGATTCGAACCCATGACCTCCACATGGGGACTGCAGCCCTGCTCATGGGACACCAGCTCAACCAGGTGAGCTATAGCAGCGGCCCAATATTTTGAATCTTTTTAAGTTATTTTTTTGGCCTTTATTGGAGAGTGTTAGTGAGAGAGAGAAAGGAAAGTAGAGGAAGAAGACATGTGGGAAAGGCTCATGAGCGGGATTCGAACCTATGACCTCCACATGGGGACTGTAGCCCTGCTCATGGGACACCAGCTCAACCAGGTGAGCTATAGCTTTTGAATCTTTTAGGTATTTTTCCAACCAAAGCACTTGGATTGTTGTGTTTTTAATCAGTGCTTACAAAAATGTTGAATCTGTTGAGGTCAAAGTCACAACATAAACCTGGTCAGTGGTGAAATAAGTGATTAAAAATGGTAATAAAATAGCATATCTTTGCTTTTTTATTATGAATTATTGTAAGCTTTTCAGATAACTCCTTGCTTTATTAGCAAAAAGGGAGAAAAAAAACCCAAATATGGTTAAATTTAAGGCCTTTAGCCCAAAATTAAAGGCTTTCTTTTGAAAACCAGAGCTGATTCCTTTTTTTCTTATTCAAATCTGAACATCCCAGACATACGCAGCATGAGGAAAGGTAGACATTTCTTCATTTTAAGCGGATAATGTGAATTGTCTGAAAGTGAAAAGTAGAAACTTTTCTTGTCCCAGCTGGGAAAACTGACCCTATAGGCCCAAGACATGGAAACTGTGGCCACGGTTTGCCAGCGGGAGCAGGAGGAAATAGTCAATGAATACTATGTTCTGGCTTTTGAGTCAGTTGACATCCTCCTTTACTCCTCCTCTCCCTCTCTCTCTCGTCTGCTGGTTGGAATCTGTAATTTGAAAAGCCCAGGGGAAATACCGAGGATATTCACATTGCTATTTCTTCTGCTGTCGTCATGTTCCCCGGTGAAATACTGTATGTTCTGGTTTCAAAGTATAGACGTCGAAGCGTTTGATCTCCCGCTCGATCCTGGCGAGCTGCTTCCCGCTTTAAGAAGCCACTCCGGCCTTTGACAAACAATACGCCGATAAAAGCCTGTAAACGCGCGTCACGTTTTTAAAGAAAGTTAATTACAAACTTTCCCAAACCCCAAGCAGCACTTGGCCTCTCGTTACAGTATAAATTGAGAGGAAAGAAAGAAAAAAAGGAGGTCAAGTACATTAACTTTATAAAGCTTCTCCTAATTTTGGCCCCAGGACCTTAATTCTCCCTAAGCTCCTCCTCCCTGCCCCTCGGCCTTGTGGCTCCTGTCTCTGCTGATCGGGCTGCTCTGACTGGAAAAGCCTCTCGGGGGAATTTAACACAGCCGCCCAGCGCTGCCTTTCATGTGGTCTGCGCGCAATCCCTTTTATCTCTCAGCTACGCGCTTTACGACCGAGCTGCAGAGAAGAAGAGGCGAGGAAGAAAAAAAAAAAAAAGAAACCTGCAAGTCCAGGCCTGGCGTGGCGAAGATGAATACCACAGGAGAATTCTTGCGACAAAGGCGCTCAGAGGAGCAACTTGAGTAATAAACCTCTGAGCAGCGAAGACACAAGCAGCGAGGAAGGCTGGGAAAATGTGAGCGCCTGGACGTGCTTCCTTACTGGGGCCTATGTGGCACTAAAAGGCAGCTCCGTGGTCTCGGGAGGTGAGGTAATGTGCACTACCTGTGCAATTATGAGCTCAACAGAGTTTGGTCATGGTCTAGTGAAAGCTGAACCTGGAGATCCATTTTCAGTCCCCTCAGAGTGCAGCAGCTCCAAACACAAGTCGGAGAGCTGAAAGGCCCGGAACGGCTGAATGAGCACGACTGATCCGCGGGACTAAACATAGAAAGATCGTTGTTTGTGCAAACATCGGCAGTCAGGAAGGGCAGGGCTGAGCTTCATTCAGAAATGGAAAGCGGACGGAGTGAGCACGAACCTGATCGATGGCATCTGGGTTCTCAGATACGTCGAAGATGACGGCCGTGGCTCCTCGCTGCACTGCTCGCTTTGCCTGCAGACACAGAACAAAATAAAGATTATACATGCTGGAAAAACAGTGCAAAAAAAGCCAGAACATCTATAATCACAGCATCAACTGCATCTCCTCAGATTCAACTCAAGGCCACTAGAGGGAGTTCTCTGCCTTGGTGTCACCACACAGATCCTCTGAAGTGAGCAAATCAAAAAAATGAAAGAGAAGCCCAACAGGTGAGAAGTAAACAAGCCTGTGATGGCATTTGCTACGATGCACATGTGGTCTCCTCTCCATGTCTCCAAACTCATGTAAATGTGCACCACCTCGAGCTAACGGTACGACATCCCTGCACCGAGGACTGATGCATGCTCGGCTCCGTGTGATGCAACTCTGCATGACGGGCTGGAATTTGAATTCAGTTCTGCTGTGCACGCTCAGAAAAAAAGTTGAATAAAGTTATCAAGGATTTCCAGCTGTTAAAAATGTGAGCCGCTTTCATCTGAGAGCAGGGAAAGTCACAGCACAGAGGCCTTTTGAAGAGTTCTGCTAAAGGCAAAAGATAAAGGAAATGCTTGGATCTGCAGAACCCCAAGTATCTACTCGCTGAATCCAAATTGGCTTCCCCTCGTCGGAAAGAGAGAGAGAGGAGAAAAAAAAAAGGTCCTTTATCTTAACTCCTGCCTTCCCCCTACAACCCGTTCTCACCCAGCGTGATTCACCGTGCCCTATTTAGACGGCGTTTTGATGTCTGCACTACATGATCTAAAAGAGCGCGGCTGGGATCATATCCTGGTATTATCAAGTGCCCTTGGGTTCTCGCCAGCACTCTTCATAACTGCAGGGAAGAGGGGGGTGAAGATCAAAGTGATATAATGTACACGACTCCGGCCGGACACCGTCACCGCTCCGCAGAGGGAGGAGGAGATGTGGAGGCGCAGAAAAGCTTCTCACAGCACATCCCATTGATATCTGAGGTAACAACACTCAGTGACGAGATGTCGAGGAAGTTTCTGGATCATTTGTTCAAAGACTAACTATACAGTAGAGACAGAAAAATTAAAAGAATGTAAAGTGTCTCAAACACCACAACCCTCAAACAAGACTTCTTTCTTCAACATAATGTTCAAGTTTTTGCCACCTGCTGTGATAATCATGTTTTACTTAGTTTTCGTCTGTGCCGAGGGCAGCAACTAAAGAACATCTTCATTATTCACTATTTATCCTAATTGCATCTGCAAAATTACAGAAAAAGGAAAAATCAAAGGTCTTTAACCCTTTAAACCCAGCAGCAGGTTCTTGAAAACGTGGTGTTTTATTTCTTGAAGGTCAAAATGATTTTTTCACACCCGGAAAGAATGAAAGAATCAGCAGGTTTTCAACTTCCCAACCGTCCTTCACCTTTTTTATCTGTGACACGGCATTTAATCTGACTTAAAAGAAACCAAAAATAAGCTCGAAATCAGGATATTTCATCAAAATCACTTCGTGTCTTATTTTAAAATAGGCAGAAACAAACCTTCATGCTCTTACCCAGTTCTGAAAAAAAAAAAATTACAATTCTGTGTTGCCTCTGCAGAAACATGAAACCATCGGTGACTCGGCTAAGACCAAAAGTTATGACTTTTTTTAACTGTGTTGAACTGCAGGCTGTGTTTACTGAGAGCAGGTAGGAGACAAACACGGAAACAAAATTAAATCGTAAGTAGTAAAATATCTGTAGTATATGGAGTCCCCTGTGGGTGCTTGGAAATACGTCATGCATTTAAAAAAATAAAATAAAATAAATATTTATATATCCATCCATCCATTATCTATACACCGCTTAATCCTCA